TATCTTGGAGGCCATGGCAGCTTTTTTTTAAATCTTACAATTCCGAAGGATAGCGATAATGACACAACGGCACAAGTGATAAATGTGACGTCCATGATGTCGCCATGCAAAACACCTAAACACTCCTGACCCAATGTGTATGAAACATTAAAAAGTAATATCCCACTCCTATCTTTATACACCTAACGGTTTTACTTCCTTCACAACTGAAGCCTCTGCTACCAGGGATTTCTTTCTGACATTGTTTATTTATTACCGCAATGCAGCTTAATGCACTTTCATTTCTTGGAATATTCTTCTGTTGATCCCATATAATACTTACGTGATACAACGAGGATCTGCCTACATCCAGGTACTTTCTGCTTTTTGCTTCCTTCACAGTAGTAAGTACCAGCGTCCTGTATAGTAACATTGTAGATGGTGAACCTCAGCTGTCCGGTCTGTGATGGTGAGTCCTGCCCTATGTATCTGATCCTGGTCGTGTAGCCGGTGTGCCAGGTGTTGCGTACTTCTACTCGGTGTGACTTAGGCACGACCACTAACAGTACTTCATTTACCGAACCATTCACCCGTACGTTATATAGGTAGCTGACATTAGCTGGGTTCATGGTCATGTCAACATCGTAGCCAGCACGTGTGACAGTGTGTCGGTAGTCAGCTGTCACGGAAACAAGAGCTGCACACAAAACAAATAAACACCATACACCATTATGTTTGTTAAGAGTAGATAGAAATATTAATGTTGCGAATTATTAAAGCAAAATAGGATTTAAGCACAGCTCAATATAATATATACGAAGACAGATACATACCACACTCAAATAGTCCTCCGGCCACAACGTAAAACAGAAACATAGTCGCCGCTGTGTTGAGTTAATACTGACAGATAGCGATTGTGATTTGTTTGTAAGGGGTAACAAAATTCAGTTTCGCTCGATAATATTTCCGTATAAAAGTGTGTTATTTCCCGTTGTACCTGATGTTGTGGAAATATATTACTAGACATATATTACTTTGTGTAGACGTACCCGTGTGGAACAGAGTAGGAATGAACAAGTTTTCCAACTATCTATTGGTTGTTTTGAGAGGCTCATGTGACTTGCTGTCACTGACTGTGCGGATCGTTGCCCGTGCTTTAAGTCATTGCATGGTTTGCCTTGTCCAGAGACAATTATTTAATGGCAGCCCTGAGGTAGCTGGAGTATTGCTGATTGTGGCGTTAAAAACACAAACAAAAGCGTGCAGAGTACCATAATCTGATTTGAAATAGGGAACCTTTGGTGTGTGAGCGGTGACCGAAAGTGTTATAAATACCATAGTGTAATTACCTGCTGACAGCATCAAAAGAACTTATGGTATGGACCTTCGTCCTGTGTATTAAAGAAGTTGTTATCCATAACACTTGATATTTCACTGCAGTGAACATAACACTGTGCCGCAACTATTGTCATACAAGAGCTACCTCCTCGCAAAATAGGGGGCAAGGGTAGCCCAGACGACGAAAGCGCCGCGATTCGCTGTCCAGAGTTGCGTCCCTTGGGCACACCAGAAACCTATGATTGCGGGTTCGAATCCCGGTTGGCCCCGACTATGTTTCTAGGTTTGTCAGCACCATACCCGTGCTCGTGGGTTTCACCGAAGTGGTAAACGTCTGAGACCTGCACCACTTCGGGCTTTCCTCCCACATTAAGCTTACACGTCGTGTTTTAACTGGAATATTGTTAAAAGCGGCGTTAAACCCAACTAACTCACTCACTCACTCACTCACTCCTCGCAAAATGTCTCCTTTTATCGTAAGTATATCTCCTGTACACAAACTGTTGTCTTCCTTTTTACGTTAGTTCCGCATTGACAAGGCAAAATAATGTCAGATGGTTATTTATGGAGTTAATGTCGCTTCTTGCCGTTTGCTATTATTTTGATAATTTTTGGTTATAAACTATGTAATTTTCTCATTTTAATTGTCAATGGAGACTGTTCGTCTATTTTGTTACTTGATCAACGTGTATTCTTTCGCTTACAACAGCTTTCAAGAATAATTTTTTAAAGTTGATTTTGTATATAATCATATTCATGTGTATGATAAAGATTTAAATTGACCTTGTACTTTTTAAGATTTTGCAAACTCGGAACTACTTGTTAGGTCGCAATTACAAGGGGTAGTGAAACATCTCTGCGTGTTGGGTAAAGTTCATTTCCGTTTCAAGGCTTCATATTTGTAATAAAAAAACAACAACATTTTCTTGCAGTCAACTACACAAAAAGTATATAATAAATAGGACATTCCACGTGTCTGGTGAAATATCATGTTTCTCTCATCTCGTGACGAAGGAAAAGAAATATCTCCTTGTCCCCGTCACTCAATGAGAGAAACATCATATTTCACGAGACACCTGAGATATCTTCTATATATTGGAATGCAGTAACACACTAGCGGATATATGCTTCACACTTCCGAACAGCAAAGTAGTTCCAATTCCATAAATTAAAAAAACCCAACTCATTGTTACTTTTATTAATTTAACATCAGAAATTACTTTTGTTTTCAACCTACTTTCACCTCAAAGAAGTTACCAAACATGGACAACATACGTTGACACATGACATCACAACCGGTGATCAACTTTTACAAAAGGGTCCCTGTGTCAAATGACATCACAATGCGTGATTGTACGTGCGGACTTTCGTTGATTCAGGGATCGTACATGCATAGATGTACCATGTAAGTAGTCAGAAATATAATGACAATCTGTGTATTGATATTTTTTTATGTTTTTCTTTGTAACCAAGAGAAATAGTCACAAAAGCCGATAAAAAGCGCTGTCGTTGTGCGTGATTTCGCGTCAGTCATATCTTAGCCAGAAACTTTGACAGCTTCAATTGAATTTACCAAATCAATGTAATGTATCTATTTTCTTAATCCCTAATTCTTGCTACGGTACTCTTCCCATGCATATTCTGAAAATAATGAGTCATTATATGCTACGACTAGATGAATGGATTTCTAAAAATAGAGAATGCTACACAGTGTAACATCTGAATTTTGCACACATCAAGTACAAGGCGTCAAAATGACCGAAGTTGTTCATGAACCTGTGGCTACATCATTGATCAATTGGCCGATCATTGAAATGTGATCATAAAGATGTGAGAATAGATACTGAGGTAAATTCATAGGTCGCTATCGACTGGCACTGTCAGTCTAGACACGGATTGAGTCGACAATTTCGCGCCCATGTGACCGACCTCTCGTCCAATGGAAAAAAGCCGTATATCGTGTATACTTCACATTAAAAATATATCCATGGATGAACACGGATACTCCTGGTCAGAGAGGGACAGAACAAGGGGTGGGGCACTGATATCGTCCACTTTGAGGCGAACAGACTTGGTGCCCGACAAACACCAATAGAAATGTGTTGGTTTGATGTGTGTTTAGACTCAACATGAGGACAAAAATGAACATGAGTACCAGAATGATTATTTCCAGTTTGAGATACTCTTGAATACGAGCAAGTATGGGCGGGGTAGAGTTGGCTGCAGTGCCAGGTGTGGAGGGAGTCCAAACTAATATGTCCAGCGTTGTTGATACGGTCACCGCGGGGACACCTCGGGCTAGTAGTTGGACCCGCACAGGCCAACTCTACGATTAAGGGTAAATAATAAAAGTTCAGATAGAATCATTATTCCGAACTTGGCCATGGTTAGATAAGTGAACAGGGTTTTTAGTCCAACCGTATGTATCGGACTCTTCGCTCAGGAATTTATAAACAACTGCTCAGAGGGATCAGTATGTTTAATCTGGTCTTTGCTTGTACCACCATGTGTATAAGACTGACACTAAGGTTTTTAAAAGTAGCATTTGCCGAACGGAGAGATGCGGTTCTGTATTAAACCGGTGCCTGTGCTAACAATATAGGGGTGGTGTTTTGGATTTGGTCTGCATCAAAGAAATGACGAAAGAAAACAATATTTACCGGATAATCAATATGAGGGGCATCGTTGTGGATACCGCAATCGTTAAGACGTGGGGGAATGGTTTTATTGCTAGCATGTAGTGAGCATAAACAACACATAGGGGCAAGACACAGACAACATGCTTTGTGAACCTTTACCTTCCTTACACATCCGTAAGTGATATCAGGTACATTTTGTACTGATCTGGGTTCAAACATATCCGCTTTAGTGCCATTTAGTAGGAAATGAAAGTTACATAAGTCGTGTACCAGGTCAACATCGACAAGGGAAATGTACAAGTCCGTAATCCAAAAGTGGAGTTTAGCAAGGACGTCACCTTTCAAAACACAGACTGAGAAACACTTGGTTCGAAGTAAAAACATAACAAATTATTCATTTGATACCCAAAATGGTTAACTATAATGCATTTGGTAATGCCATGGATTCAGTACACATCATGAATCTGCCGTAACTGCAGACTATTTTAGGATAAACCTCAAATATCAACAACAATATTTTAAAAACAAAAATTCATTTTAATAAAAAAATATTATGTTCCGAACACCTGTTGTGCCCCTAGTTATAAAATCACCTACGTAATGAGAATCTTCCGATCTTCCGATCTTAAGAACATATATCAACCGATCTATCATTTTACAGTGCTGATCGACCGTGGACACGTACTTTGTGGAAAAGGGAAGGTGTACAACTTAACATAAAACATATTAACAGTGGGGTAGCCTAGTGGTTAAAGCCTTCTTTCGTCACGCCGAAGACCCGGGTTCGATTCCCCATTTCTGGTGTCCCCCGCCGTGATATTGCTGGAATATTGCTACTAGCGAGGTAAAATCATTCTCACTCTCTCACTCACTAATTAACATGAAAACCGATCACCAATCATGTTTAGCATGTAAAACACGCACACGCACACACACACACACACACACACACACACACACACACACACACACACACACATACACACACACACACACACACACACCGCCTCCACACAGGAGAGTAACGTGTGGACTGACAATGACACGCATTATCCAGGTCACTTTCACAGACCTGTCTGCATTAGTCGGGTCGACAAGGATGGATTGATACCCAGGTGTTGTTTTGATCCAGAATCCCCATCATGATTAACCAATAAAGAAGAAATACCGAAATTCGTCAAAAGTTACGGAAACCGCACACGTATTTAAAATACAAACATGTCAACAATGGGCGGTTGACGATGGTCCGCTGTACGTTGTGATAATCAGGACCGCCTATAACGCCATTGCGCCATGCTGGATCACCGAGGCTGTGCAGTGTGTATTATGGACTTTTCGTTTTTGTAAGTATTGTAATAGTTTGTACAATATACAGCTAAATACTGTTTACACCACAAGGTGTTTTACCAACAAGTTGACTGATACAGCTTCTACAAGCAAACCTATGTTAGATCAGATGTACTTAACAATTTGTGTACTGTTTTTGTTTGGGCGTGGTATGTTAAGTGTCAATAGTAAATGGTACGTTTTTTTCCGCAAATTTGGCTTTGAGAACAAAAAGACACTTATGAAGAAAAGTACTCTTACGTAATGAAAAGAAGATTTCCAGGCTGGAGAACATTAAAAACCGACCTGCTTGCAGCATTCATTTCCATTTATTTCATAATGCAGACCAAACGGGGAAACGTAATAAGTGCAAAGGGGAAGGGATGCAATATAACATAGAGCACATTAACCTGAAAAATCACCACCAAGTCATTTTGTTGTTTCCATTTACGTGCACATGTTTAGAATGCGTAGCACCGTACACACCGCACATCCTCTAATCCCCAAACATGAGAGTAATCCAGGTCACTTTCACAGCCCTTTTTCTACATCAGTCGGCTCGACAAGGATGGGTTGATACCCAGGTGTTGTTTTGAACCAGAATCCCCAAATGGTTTTAAACCAAAACAGGAGAAATACCTAAATTCCTGTACTCGATTTCTTTTTGCAGATGTACGCTCACTTAAGGACGATCTCCAAATGGATACCGTGGATTATACTGGCGCAAATGTACGGCTAATGAAGGGAATACAGCATTTGCCAAGTAGGTACTTCAAGTAAATGATAGTAAAAAAGTTTTAAACGTAGTGACAGAGGCAGCACCTTGAAAAAGTATACAATCTTGAATTGCAGCATGTGGCACACGGAATAACATTTAACCTGTTTAATTTTCACACAGAGTGGATGCATAATAAATAGAAACTTCGGTTACCTATTTAGCTCACCTGAACATATTTATCTCAGCATCCACTTGACAATGAAGCTGAAACTTAAAGAATTTGTTCAGGGTGTTCGCCATTACTTAGTTATTCTTTGCTCAAAATGTAATGAAGGTTGGCACATGTGTAGGCAATAGTGGGTCTCAAAACATTATGTTCCGTTTTTGTGATATTTTCAGTTTTGACCTTGATCAGAACTTTGAACCTCAACCATGCTGAAACGCATGGCCCTTACTCGGTCATTGTTGTACAAAATGTAAGTTAAATGAAATTTGGCATTTAGTTTGTTGTGTTGTATTGCCACATTCTGAAACTGTCAATCTTTAATATATGCTGTTTACTATGCCTACTGAGAAAAAAACCACTTCAGCAACGAGATGGTTTAAATTGTCACCCAAATAAATTTTAAGGCCCTTAAAGGATGACACTTTAGGATCAAGAAACGATATGACTCCCAAAGTAGAACTTAAGTACTCTATCATTCATCTACTCAAATGCGTGATCGTATTTACCAATATCTTCATCAACGGTCATATGTGCCTTCAAAGTCAAATCTTAAAATAGCAGTTTTCAATCAACACCTTCGCCATTAATCATCTCGTATATTAAACGTTTCTCACATCTTCATTTGTATTACATATGTGTATCCTTGTTAAAGGGGAATAAATTAAATCCTGTGAGACATCAATACCAAAACATTTGAAAGTTCTAATTTGCAGTATTCGTGAGTTTGCTGATTTCTGTTACATTTTGATTTGCAGATTGGCAGCTGATCATACCACTGTTGCTGCTTACCTCATACACAGCGTGCGACATTAGCACTCCTTCGTCAGTTCCAGGTGTGCAACATTTTGTAGCTGTATTTTGGAAACTAATGTATTTTCACTGTCTATCACAAAGACAATATATTTGTGACAGTTTCGACTGTTATTATGGGTTTTATGTTCAAATTCCACCCTCCTTCCTAAAAACTAAAAACCATGAGTCGAAACGGTAACGATATTCGTTAATTTAAGCCCAAAAGACATAATAATATTCCTTTCGATACTATACCAAGAGTTGAAACATGTATTAAAGTACTTACCTTATCACCGATTTAATATATTCGAGTCCTTATTAAACTCTCCTTATATGATATTGTGTTGCGGACAGTTTAGTCCATTTGCCATATTTACAAACATTTTATTAACAGGTCAAGATGGCTAATGCTTAAGTGAAGACAATACAAAACATTAGGAATTTTCATACTTTAGATTTATAAAATGGTGTACTGTAATATTACAATTTGTAAAGTGGACGTATAACTGTAGAGACGGTTGAATTTGCTCAGGTCATTCATACTTTGTGATGGTACACAACATCTATGTCAGCTTAGCTTGATTTAGACACGTTTCCAAATGATAGCTTTATTTAAAAGAGAATATCAGGTAGACTGCAGTATTTGGATCCCCAAACAAGGAGTTTATAGTATTTACGTTTATCGTATTTACGGAAGTTCACGTATCAAAAACGTTCCACGCATGCATTCTTTGTTATTTACAATCGAAGCGAGAGGATTTTACGGGCGCTATTTTGTTGCCAAACGCTGTCGTCATATAATTATATCAGTTTAAAAAACTGGAAGTAAGAATAAGAAAAAAGAAAAACGAGGGGATAAAGGGGTGTGGAACCCTCCTTTTTCAATACAATTGACCAGTGAACGCTGCTGTAATTTTTATGGACCATGGACACTGACGTCAAACGCGACAGAAAGCTTGCTCGATCTTGCAATTTAACATGGTCATTCTATGTAAATTTAAACCGTTATATCGCTAAACTCTTCAGGTGGCAAAACGACAAGATTACAGTTGTTCATGTTCCAACTCTTTCGCTTCTGTGAAATGAATCACCGTCTTATGCTATAGTACCGTCATCGGCTGCTGACTGTGACCTATCAAACAATCTAAAGCAATACAGTTGGTGCGTTTGGTTCTCACTGCTACGTCTTGACTCCATTGCCACAGTTAGTTCGTTGGTTTGTTTGTAGTTTAACGCCGCACTCAGCAATATTCCAGCTATATGACGGCGGTCTGTAAATAATCGAGTCTGGACCAGACAATCAAGTGATTGACATCATGAGCATCGATCCACGCAATTGAGATCACTGACATACATCAACCAAGTCAGTGAGTCTGACCACCCGATCCCGTTAGTCGCCTCTTACGACAAGCATGGTCACCCTACAGCAAGCATGGGTTGCTGAAGACCTATTCTACCCCGGATCTTCACGGATCAAGTATCACAATGAGACAGGGCTCTATAGTAGTAGATCCTTTATATGACCTTACGGGACGTCAGTAGTTCTCTAACACCAAAACGACAAACATAAATATAGGCGAACACGAGCACAGTTTTAATCGTAAAACTCTTAGCTGCTGATGGCAGCCTAATAACGGAAACCGCCGAAATGGGGACCAAAATACTGCAGTCGACCCAAGAATAAATGTAGATATGACTTTGTAAGACATTGCCCTGGGGTATAAAGATAATGTATACCATAGTCACGACAGCTAGCACTGACGTGTCCACTTTTCCATAACTATAGTGCTTTAACAATTATGTTCAACTTTGCTTTATTAACATATTGACGGGTGGGTTTTGTGTGAATGGATTATATATATTAAAAATAGGACAGTGTTAAGTAAAACATATTTAACCGGATTTAATTGCTGTAATTATTATAAACTGACGTCCAAAAGAAACTTTACCAGAGATTGAAATCACTCTTGCTCAAAAACAACAAAACATACATGCATGAAGTAAAGTGTATTAAGAAGATCAATATATCAACATAATCAACACTGAAAATGACAATCATACCGCGACCGAGAATGACGTCAGAGCCCCCCAAAGTTGGGTGTGGTACAATACTCGAGCTTTCAGAATCATGGACAATAGGCAGAGTACATAAACAATCGCTCACGTTCAATAACAAGTCATTAGTAGCGTGTGTGACCACCAAATGCCTCAATACACCCAAAAACTCTTCGACGCACAGAAAAAGTCAGTCATCTGATGAGGTCACGTGGGATTTGACGCAATACTTCTTGGAGGGCTAAGATCAGTTCCTGCCGGTTGGCTGGAGAGTGTGGTCGTTGTCGAACACGACGATCCATCAAGTCCCAGAGGTGTTGGGGGACATGTCGGGTGAGCGTGCAGGCCACGGCAGGTCGTTGACGTTGTTGGCTGCGAGGAGGTTAGTGACAATTCTGGCTGTATGGGCTCTAGCGTTGTCATGCTGATAAATGACACCACGTGGCTGCTGTTGGAGAAATGGTAGGACAACTGGACGTAGAATGTTATCCATGTACCGCTGAGCTGTCAAGTTGCCGTCAACGATGACCAGCGGTGTCCTCTCCTGCCCACAGATCCCTCCCCACACCATGACACCCCCTCCACGCAACACGCCACCGTTCGTTCACCCCTCTGCCAGTCACGTCGTTGCCAACGTCGTACAGTCCGGGCCTATCTCAATCGCAGACGACGATGTTGCGCTGTCAATAGCTGTCATCTGTATGGTCTAAAAGCCCTGATTCCATGAGCCCTGATTCTCCTGGCCACTGTCTGTCGACTAACCCTGTGACCTTAGGCATTTGTCGCCGATGACGTCACTGTCAGGAAGCGATTTTGGAGGTGCAAGGTACGCATGTACCGGTCATCATAGGGCGTGGGTACCCTGGGCCTGCCTGTTCTTGGCCTGTCAGCGGTCCGCCCTGTCCGTCTGTAACGTTGCATCAAGTTGGTAACGGCAACATGGGAGCAACCGAAGGTTTGTGCAATATGGGCGTGGGTGGCTCCCATCTGTACCATACCCAAGGCTCGTTCACATTTTTCGACTTTGAGTCGTGGCATTTCTTTTGTGTTTTTTTGTCACTGTGGATGTCTGACTTGCCGTTACAATCGTTTTATACCCTTACCCGCACGTGCATTTGCAGTTGTCCGTGGTGCACGTGTTTTTCACTTTTTCGCGTGTTATCTCGCAAACATGTAACAGACAATTAACATTTTCCGCATACACTATTGTTGTATTTAGGTTATGTGTTTTAGATAGACTTCATCGAAAAACAATTTATACTTTGTCTGAAATTTATATTTTCAGTTGGTAAAGTTTCTTTTGGACGTCAGTTTAATATAATAAAGTACCAGATGCTTGGAAAAAATGATTACTCTATAAATATTCGCAAGTATATGATGGATGGTACAGCTTAAATCATACACGCAAAGATATATAACATTCAAACGAATTATCTTGAAATTTATAAACACAACCTCCAACTCCTGACATTAATTACAATAAAATGATGCTATCGTACAAATGTCACAATTGACTGCTTATAAAAAGTGTGAATAGCAGCTTAATGTAATTAATATAAAGGGGGTTAAATTACCTAAATGGGTGTCTTACATATATTCTGACTTATAAAACTATGTCATTCGACGCCATTCACCTCGGATGTCCTCTGCTAACTGATACTGGTTATAAGGGCGACCTGGTGGTCGTAAAAACATGGTACTTGTTATTACCTTGTCTGGCGCTCGGCATTAAGGGGCTAAAACAAGGACTGGTCGGCTCGGAGTCCGTATACTGTGTCTGAGTGGGGTATTCATGTTAAACTGCGGCATGGTATCTCAGTGGGCTAGCACTATAAATCGGCACAAGTCCGGACACACACACACACGTGCATGCAGTCGCTATATAAGTGCAATAATCTTGGACGCGACGTTAAACCCCATTTCACCTCACCTTTTATATTTCTGAACAGTGAGTCAATTTTAACAATCTTTCTATTGGTTGAACTTGAAAAGTGACCTTACAAAATTTCAGCTCTCTTTTATATTAAAAAACCATGATTGTACAAAAAAACAGCCACCATCAAATGGTAGTCCCCTAATGATACTGTCTACAGAGAGGAACGAAAGGCTTCTGGTTAAGATGTGATGGAAAAAGTGTTCAGAACGAAACATGTTTTTAGGATAATATCCGACAGGGAATGAGGAGATGGTCATTATCTTTGTTCAAACAACTTTTCATAACTTGCAGACTCCAGCGACCAAAATATGACAGTGGCCACATGCATAGGCGGAACAGCTTCCTTTACCTGGAGCTATGAGGTCCAGCCATTCTTGGCAATCGAATGGTTTTTTGGGGATAAACCTATTGCAGACACAACTGTTAAATCGTTTTCAAAGGTACGTAAATTAGACTATGTCCAAGATGGAAGAGTGTTGCGAGACACTAAATATGCACGAAACTAAAACATAAAGTTTTTATAATGCGGATGGTACACGTATGACCTCATTTTTCTCATTTCAGACACAATCGGACTTTTTTCCATTCATACTCACCTTATGGACTTAATTTAGGTCTAAGATGATCACGATGAGGATGATTAGGAGAATAAACTCTGACAGCACTGACACTGAATAAATTTATTCAGTGTCAGTGCTGTCAGAGTTTATTTTCCTAATCATCCAGTATAAAGTTCTACTTCCAGTCTTCCACTCATCGTGATCATCTTTGACCTACCTCATGTCCACCAATTTGAACGCAAGATAAATGCCCTTGTCGTGAGTATTGTTGGTGATAATGAGTATGCATTTTTAGATAAAAAGAAAAATCAATTTGATATTGATATTATCATGCTTTAATGTTTTTATCGAGAAATTAAGTCCGCGGCCGTAATATGAGGTGAGTATGAAGGGAAGAAGATATAAAGCACTTTTTGTCACCATATTAAATTATGTCAAAATAAATATACAGAAATGGCGATCGCTATATATTATGTGTACAATGATAGACGACACTCTACTTCTCCTTTAAACATTACTTACTTAACTTAGTAATAGTGCAGCCTGAATACATCGCGAATCATTTTCAACTAGTCTTTAGCCTACGTGTGACGTTCAGTGTACTCAATGTCGATGAGAGAGATCAGCAGTATGTCATTCATGCAAGAGAACGTTTATGCGAGTTATTGCGAGTTTCAAGCTGATACTTCACCTCAACAATAATCAAAACACAGTATTTGACACACATTTTAACTTCAACGACTCTTTTGGTGAATGTTGTTAAACGTATTTTCTTGATAAACTATTTTCATCTGTTTGCACTTTGACAAAACAACTGCAAATCACCAACAATACTAAGCTTTATGTTGCGACGAAATATTTTCAAACTGTTGATCTATGTAGACAGTTGCACTTGGTAACAAGCTTCTTGGAAGTGTGATAAGAAACATCATCTACAACAGTATACAGAGATTCTGATTCTTTAATATTTGACTAATATATAGTGATTTATCCGGGGAGGCATTTGGCTAGGGATATTGTACTCTATGACACCGGAAGGGCAGGAGTCGGTCACGAATGCACACAACAGGCTGTTAACCAGATGTAGGTGAGGTTCAATTATCCTCAAAGAAGAATATTTTAAGACACCTTCTCACATCATTGTAAACGGACCTATTTGTTAACCATCCCCCTCACCCCACGCCCCCGCCACTCCATATTCAATATAAAATATCTTCCGAACTGAGTGCAAGCAGGCATGATCAATGTCACAGCGATATAGCGTAATCACTTACCTGTGTGGTTACCTGGTCGATCGAGGCAGGTGTAAAAGCTCTGGATGTTAGATAGGAGAACGTAGTGCGTCTCTCCGATGTGGATGTTTATAAATTGTGTGAGAGGTTGGATGAAGGAATGGTTCAAGAACTGTATGTTTTCTATGCCTAAATCAAAAGCATATGTAATGCATGCTTTCAAAATAGTGCGCATGGAAATAGATATGATCTAATGTTGTTGCAATCCTAACCAACATTGTTGTGGGATATTGTAGTGTTTTCATATAATATTGTGTGTTTTTTCCCCCTTTTATTCATATATTTAGTTTATTGATTAATTACTGAAGACTTATTTGTTCATGTGTTCGGGGAACATTGATAATAAGGTATTGTATGCGAGGGAGACTTTTAATGTTTCAATTTGCAGATTGACTAACTAAAATATCAAACTAAAATATTATTTACTAGCTGCTTGTCTGTTTGATTTGTGATAAAATCAAAAGAACCACAATAAAAACCTGAACAAATCTAAAATAATTATTTGATAGGCATTACTTGGAAGTTGACGGATGACAAAGTAAACACAATTTATAGATAACAACTTCTTTATTTGACAACAGTATAAGGATCTAATCGGAGAAGTTGTTTTATCATCCCAAACTGGCTCCCACAGGAGATATGCTTGGGTGAGATGAAGCTTTACCTACATTGTAGATATCGCTGCTATGAAATTGCATCACAATGCCTTGCTTTGCAGTTACCATTACGTCACAATCAAATGACATCACTAATGGCTCTGCTACTGAAGCTGTTAGTAGTACTTTTCACACTTAAGACACTGTTTATTACTTCTACAAGCGGAAAAAGTTGGAAGAATGATGTTGGATGATAAACAAAATCTCACCCTTGTGTCTTCTGATATCAAATATATCAACACTCGTTGATCAAAGCCACAGAGTTTTTTCCACTTTTATTAATGAGTGTTGATATTTTTGATATCAAAAGACACTCAGGTGAGTTTCTCAATGTCCATAAATTGTGTCTAATTTGAAATAATAACTGATGAAATGCAAAATATGACCTGCAAGCACCTGCTGATGAACGTCAACTGCCTGGCCAGGATAGCTCTAAAAGTTAAAATATTATGTTCTACAAATTTGTTTTCGTTGACAGCCCCTGAGATAATATGATAGCTTTAAACACCACTTAACCTTTCAATAAAAAACATTTCCTGCGTCTGAAAAGGCTATTTTCAAACTTCTACCTGTGCTTGCCACCTGTTTGGCGGGCTACATTTGGCGGGCTACATTTGGGTGGCTACACTTGTTCATTCACTCCTGTAGGGTTAAGGTATCTTTCAAATATGGCAAAGCATTTTGATTGAATACAAACTTTCCTTTCATCAGTTTTCACCTGCCTGTGTTTTTTTCAAAAGCAGCATATTTTTGCGGAAAGGCAGCTGCTTCGTTTAGCTATCAACCATGGTGATTTGCTGCAGATACAGATACATGTATTGTGCATTCGGGAATATCAAGTTCTCTGTGGATGTATATTTCACTGCACTGCCTGAACTTTCATAAGAGGACAACGAGGAGCTTAACATTAATTTTAAAAGCACAAGATATATATGCCTATTTGGTGGTATAAAAATTATAAAGAGCTTATTTTGACAATATCACTGTCATGTGAATTCATCAGTGTGTTGCTAATAGATCATGTTTGTTATGGCTCCAAACTGTCAAGGTAGCATATTCCTGTCAGCTTCTCTGCCTGCTGTAGGGTTACAAGGTGGGGTGAAATGGGGTTTAACATCGCATCCAAGATTATTGCACTTATGTAGCGACGTGCATGCACATATGTGTGTGTGGCTGCTTGTACTAGTCCGGACTGATGCCGACAGTGCTAGCTCACTGAGATACCATGCCGCAGTTTAACATGAATACCCCCACTCAGACACAGTATACTGACTCCGAGCCGACCAGTCCTTGTTTTAGCCCCTTAATGCCGAGCGCCAGACAGGGTAACAAGAAGTACCACCTTTTAACGTCTTTTGGTATGATGCAGCCGGGGATTGAACCCCGGACCTTCAGCTCTCCGGGTGGACGCTCAACCACTAGACCACGGAGGCGGTCTGAAGGGTTACAAAGGAGGGTGTACACCAAGTAGTATATGCAGTCCCGGGTCTGTGCCAGTGAGCAATGCTGAATAGAAATCCAACTTTAGTTGATTTTTCATTATGTTCAAATGTTTGCATGGCAACATGTGTTCATTTATGTGTGGTTGAATATGTCTTTAGTTATAGTCCCGACATGGTACAATGTGTAAAGCCCATTTCCGGTGTCCCCAGCCATGATGTTGCTGGAATATTGCTAAAAGCGACGTAAAACCTAACTCACTCACTCACTCACTCACTCACTCACTCACTCACTCACTCACTGGAATATTGCTAAAAGCGGCGTGAGGGTGAGATGTATGTAAGATGGGTGTGGTTTTTAAATACTTCAATGGGATGGGAATAGACTCTGAGTGTTGTCAGTTGAATAACATCATTGCTAACAGGACAGTAGCTTCTTTCATAAAGAACATTTTTTTTACTGTCATGTGAATTCACCAGTGTGTTGGCGTGAGTTAATCCCCTGACAGCCACAGGAAACATTCCTTTCTGCCTACAATGAAGTATGTTGGGTTTTTGAGTAGGTTTTCATGGGTGTGCCTGCGACTCTCTTTTCAAACAAACACCACGTTTATTCATTTGGCATATTGGTGACATACTTTCGATAAAGTTATACTCACTTCCAAAAGAGTGAGTGAGTGAGTTGGGTTTAACGCCGCTTTTAACAGTATTCCAGTGTCAGGCTTAATGTAGGAGGAACGTCCGAAGTGATTCGGTGAGACTCACGAGCACGGGCATGGTGCTGACAAACCTGGAAACATAATCAGGGCGAACCGGGATTTGAACCAACAATCAAAGGTTTCTGGTGTGCCTAAGGGACACAACTCTGCACAGCAAATCGAGGCGCCTTAGACAACTGGGCTACCCGTGCCCTACTACCAAAAGAAATACTGACCATAGAAACATAAAGAGAAATATGTATGTTAAGATAGATGTTTCCAATGTGAACCACTTCATGACAAAACTAACAATCAGTCAAGTGTTACCACAGAGTGACTTTATTCTTATCACGATATGCTGCGTGTGATTTCCAAACTTACACGCTAATCCTGCACGAGACAAATAGTGCATCTTGAGTCATGGATCTATGACGTCACATGTGATGCGTTCATGAGCATCGGTTCATATGACTATCAGTATGGTTTTTTTGTGCATTGAGTGAGTGAGTATGTTTTTACGCCGCTTTTAGCAATATTCCAGCAATATCATGGCGGGGGACACCAGAAATGGGCTTCACACATTGTACCCATATCGGGAATCGAACCCGGGTCTTCGGCGTGACGAGTGAACGCTTAAACCACAAGGCTACCCGACTGTCCCATTTGTGCATTGAACAAATCTTCATATGTCAACCAACATGTATGATATTTTCTTTTGGTGGTGAGTATTTATGATTAACTGAACTTGAATAGCCAATCCTGCACAAGACAAAGGGTACATCTCGCGTCATAGAT